AATGTATCGAATCAAAAGCTCTGAGAGTATGACATAGACTTCTAAACTCCAGAACTAGCAGGACATCTTGAACGACCCAAACGACTTCAACATTTAACGATAAGCAAAGATTTGTCTTGAACGAGGTTGCCGGAGCCTCGAACTGAAATCTCCAAAGTCAAACCCAAAATGTCCTCCAAAAACGAACAAGCCACTAAGGTAGGGACGTGAAAGAATTTGAACTTTCAAGGGTAAAACTCTAACACAGACACAAAGAAAACCATAAGATTGGAAGCTGTTTATTCTGTAATGTTAAAACGATAACTAATCCCCGCATACAATTAAAATAGCATAAAATCGTTCATCCTCCAGTGGGTCATGAAGTAGAACATTTACACTTTTGTCGACAAAACAGTAAATTCACAGACATTGCGATAGCTCACTAGAACGGTATTTAAATGAGATCATTATTCCATGCCAATAGTTCTTCTTAATTCACGAGAAAAATCCCTAAAATTAACAAAGTTCAACTTCAACATTGAAAAAATTAGGCCAATGTCCAGAAAATTTATATGTTTAATCAACCCGTATCAATTTTTTTTATAAAACCCAATTGCAAAAGCCGTAAATTTTGGGAACAGTGTTTTATTTAAGACCTATGCTTTGATCTTAAGTCCTCTGCAACACGAATCAAAGTTGTGCTCAACGACCGAAGCGAAGTACTGCCATATTTAACCCAACTTTCCTGAGGTATTAATTTCAAAATGGCACGACACTTTCGTACCATTGATGTATCATTGGATATACAACACTGTAAAGCTAATGACCAGCTCCTGTTAGCTACACCTTCCAAAATCAACGCTTCGAGACATTCTGGTGACAGCAGTTCAGAAAAGTAACGCAAACAACGAACCAACTGAAATAAAATTGCCACTACTAAAACTCTTGAATAAGACAGATCACTTAAAATCAAGAATCACTACAAGAATGCAGTGGTGACAGGTTACTAAATACCCATCTCAAGAAGAACATATTTTGTTTCATAAATACCTTTACAGCCGTCCAAAACTGCCTGTCTAAGAATGCTTTACAACCCGTACTAATATTTTCTACGGCTCTAAATAACATATATTTGTAATACGGCTACAATAACTGAGAAGAGAAGAGATGAGATAAATACGAAACAAAATAATGACTTCTCACTGTTTAGAATATATTGGAACAAACAAATCCTCATCAATCGACTCTTGTATTCTCTTTCGCATAGCTCGTAAAAGCCTTTGAACGGGTTGGCTCGATGATACCATTGAAGGGCATTCCTCGACAAGAGATTCCAGAAGAAACCCCAGACGTTTACACTGTTTTTCGGAGAGAGGGTCCCATCGTTCTTCTACAATTTCTGCAAAATCCCTCTTCTTAGCTTAAACACAAGTTTTCTCCTTTCTTTCTTAACATTTCCATAGTGAGGAATCCGTTTGGTGAAGAAGAAACCATAATTTTTGTTTCAAGAATGACAACTGTAAGAAATACTTAGTTTTTCACGGGGAATGCAGAACAAACTATCGTCTATTTCAATAGTGAGATAAGCGTTAAAACTATTACGAAAGAAAAATTTTATAACAAGTATACAACCAGTAAGTTTGTCCAAAACCACTTTTTCAATGCATAGGGGAATCAAGGACACAAGAAGCGGATGTTCAACATCAACATCTGCATTGTTTGATGCGCACATCAGCAACTCCTCATACCACTTCATCCGATACAGCGGATAATCCACGTCCTTAAGTCAAAAACTAGTGCACCTTTCCTGTGCATTTCAGCATGCATTAAAAAAGAATACCTCTCATTAACCAAATAAGAGTAAAAACAAAGAGGAAAAATTAGTCAAGTTAAGCTTGGCGAATAAAGCTTAATCGGTGAAACCGAACAGCAGGAACTATTAAAATAAATGCATGAAAATCTATATCAGTAACTTTCAGTAACCTCGAGCGGATCCCAACAAAGCATTTCCAACCGTATAAACGGTGAAAGTAGTTTAGGAATAAACAACTGAATGTAAGCATCAGCAAACGAACTTTCGTCTACAGCAAGCCAATCGACAAAACGGGAAACTATTTTTCCAACTTGGCAGTAATCATCAACAGCATCAATAAATATTACAGCAGAAGCCTCACGAATTTCCGCTAAAACACTGCTGCTCCTTAAATATTGTAGCGCCAAAATATTGCAAACAAAGATGAAATTACCTAGTGCTTGCTGACGAGCGACCAATTCACTTTTAGTCTCTTCTTCATCTGTGCTTAAACCTTCTTCATGAGAAATCCCCTCCAAAGTATCTTCACGAAGACGGCGTCTCCTTGCTCTGAAAATGTAAAGAGGTTACATAATTCAAAGAAATCTAGACATCTTACTCATTTCTGAAATGTCGGAAAGTTTCAGTCATAACTCAGACGCACTTTGAACAGTGCAAGATCACATTTAAAACAACACTTTTTCATCTAGATAACTAAGTTTAAACTATGAAAGGCTCCATTTTTATTTGAAACTTAATTTTGTTTTCAAAACCCAAAAGTGGACGTTGGTTTTGAATAATTTGATTTAGAAATACTATCACATTGAAATCCACATAACAAAGAAAATCATTTATAAGCAAGATATTAATTTCTAATTTTTTGATAAAAACAACAAACCTTCTTGCCTCTCTCTCAGCAGCCCTTTTTGACACTTCATTGTTCCTTATAATACTTTGCTGTTTTCCTGCCGCTGCTGCAGAACATTCGTCATATGTATCATGAACATCTTGTCGCCTCCTTTTTCTAAGCTTCTGAGCCCGTCCATTAAAAATGGCTGATATTTGGCTCTCAACAGTTTTAATTTCACCAATCTAAACATAAAACCATCTTTCACCCTCTCTGAAATAAGCACCACTTTAAAGAATAAATAATGATCAAACACTCTTCTGTCTATAAGCAAATGGTGTGTAAAGCGTTACCTTTGCACTAATGCACTCTAAAAGATCTCTGACGTAACCCCGTATATGTTGATACATGTGAAAACGTTCAGTTAACTTTGGCTCTTCCATTTCCAGATTAGTGATTGTCTCCTTGTTTTCCTTCATGTTTCTTTCCAAAGACTCTAACTCAAGTTCCCGAGCATTCAATACTTCGTCCCTATCTTTGATTCTGAAATGTTCAACGAATAAGTTAAAAAAATTTTGAAAAATTGTTTGCAGTGAAAAGCAGAGCATATCAAAAACCTCTATGTATAAAGACTCACCTCAAGCGAAGTTTTGATAAGATCTCTTCTAAAGTAATGACTGTTGTCTGACCAGACACACGTCCTAAAATTTGCTAACCATTAGTTACAGAAGTTCAACAAAAATATTGCCAAATGAACTGAAGTCAAACATGTAGGAACCTCGAGAGGCATCTAAAGCTTCAGAATCCCCAACGTCAACGTCCATTTCCATTGGTAACTGCTCAGTATTTTCAGTCATCTGAGGAAAACTTCCCATTATGGCTTGCATTGCAGCAGCCATTCTTGCCCGTTCATACTCCATTCTTTCAACCTAGAAAGAGTACCTTAATCAGAAATACAAAAACAACAGAAGGCATTAAGCTTTTACTCTACACCTACTTTATGGAATGATACTCCCTTTCTGATTTGTTCGCTCTCCCAACGTGAAACTTCCTCATCTGACTGATCGTTTTCGTCATCTAAATAAAATCAGATAACAACAGCAAAAGTAAAAAAGAATTCTAGGTGTTGAGTGCAGCTATTTTACAATTTCGTGAAAGCTTTTTAACAAGCAGGTATGATTTAGCTGAATTTATTCAACAAGTAAAGAAAACCTCCTTGTTCAGCAGCTAGAAAGTCAGACCGATTATTTCGAATCCTCTCTTCCTCATTCTCAATGATATTTTTAGACGAGTAAAAACTGCAAAATGAGTTAATTTATTACATTATGTGAAGGTAAAGTATTGACGGAGCAAGTAAATCCTTACTGCCCTCTCTCATCGTCTTCATCACTTATATCGTTATCGTCTTCGCGAACTAATCTAGATCTGGCGACCGATTTATCCTAAAGAACAATCATTTTTTCGTTAAATCTTCCCAACTGTAGTTATATACCAGGTTATAATCAAAATTAAATCCAGAAAAATGGTAAAACAATTAAATCATAAGTGACCTTAAGCCGCTGAACGTTATCAAGAGGTACAAGGCCATCTTCACCCATTAATCTCATCCTTTCTCGTTTTTTTCGAGCTTCATACACAGCCTGCGCGTCAGGAATTTGACCTATAATCTTATCTTAATAGCCAGTACAAAATTTTTTTTATTAAATAACCTGAGTCGCAAAAAACTAAGCGCAATCAAATTCACAAAAAAAAAAATTCCATTTAAAGTGAAACTGAGATGGTGATAATATCGTATTCAGTACTACAAAAAAACCCACTGAAGCTTGAGGGGAATTTATTACGGACAGGATCGTCACTTGAATCATGATCTTGACCCACGGTCTCTTGCTTAACTGTGGAGGTGACCTGACAAAAAAGAAAACTTATTATACAGAAATGATGGCATAAAAACGGCTTTTTTAAATAGCTAAAAATAAAATTAAAATACTTGTTTTCTTAATCACTTAGCAGAATTTTATTATTTTAAAAAATTACCTCATAACAAGCACTAAAAACAGCTAGACCCTTCTCAGCAATTTCCACTTCTTTTTTTACCTTAACGCTCTCAAATTCACCAACTGATAATTCTTTTGCCTTTCTTGATAATTTTTCCATTCGCCTCAAACGCCGATCTT